GAGTAGAGGGCTACCTAGTTCTGATTAATTGATGGAGCACCTGCGAGTGCTCAAGGAGGAGGTGGAGATCATGGAAGAGGAGGAATCTCCTGAGGCGCACAAGAACGTTGTCCTCTCAAATCCAACTCCTCCTACCAGTGGTGAGGCCCTTTCACTAAGTAATCGCATGCAGGACTACTTAACTTGTTTTCTTTCGATGGGCACAAGAACGGATAATTGTCGTGCCATGTCTGCATTGTGACCACGAGATTGTCGTCTTGTTTTGATTGCTTGTTCCTTGTTAAATTCTCGCGGGTGCCTGATTTCAACATTGTGCATTTTGCTTTGTCACACAGTTGATGGTTGCCTTTCTACAGTATACAGGGCACATGTGTACGCAATATTCATTAAATAATTTTACCTTTGTTTATGTGCCTGTGTTTAGATGTTTTGGGTGCCATGAGACCCCTTATTGGGAAGTTGGACATGCTTCTCCTTAGGGATGCTCCTCAGAAATGCTGCTCCAAGAGGATCAAGGACAGGATGCGCCTCCTCAAAGATGATGTTCAAAAGATAAGTTCCTACCTTGATGAACTATTAGAGTTGGAAGACCCTCCGCCAATGGCCATGTGCTGGATGAATGAGGCACGTGACCTGTCTTACGACATGGAGGATTACGTCGACAGCTTATTATTTGTGCCGCCTGAAGATCCCTCCCTTTTTGCTAACAACATCAAGGCCACCAGATCCCTCCGCAAATGGTCCAGTCGTGTCAAGACTTCCCAGACTCAGGTTATTAGTGCAGAAACATTATCGGAATTCAGGAAGTATGTCCAGGAGGCCATTCAACGGCACCAGAGGTACAATCTCCATTCTTGCAGAACCTTGAGGCGTAGATTTGTGTTGCATGGCCCTATGGTTCTTCCAAGGCCATATGAAGAAACTACAGACATAGTAATCGATGGCCGGATGAATGAATTTATCAACTCGCTGGCTACCGATGGGGACCAGCAGCTCAAGGTGCTTTCTGTTCTTGGATCTGCTTGTATTGGTAAAACCACACTTGCTAGAGTGTTGTACAACAGACTTAGGAAGCAATACAATTGCCGAGCTTTCATTCGAGTATCCAAGAAACCTGATACAAAGAAAATTTTCTGTGACATGCTCTCGCAACTCAAGCGGCAACATCCTCCGCAACATTGTAGGGAAATTGATCTCGTTCACGATATCAAGCAATATCTACAAGATAAAAGGTAGTGCCTCTTTATCAAAATTCTCATGGTCCCTAAACCCTTAGAGTTGATTATCTGTATGCAGGTATTTAATTATTATTGATGATGTATGGGCTGCATCAGTATGGGATACTATTAATCATGTTTTTCCAAAGGGTAATCATGGCAGCAGAATAATAACAACTACACAGATCGAAGATGTTGCATTAACATGTTGCTGCTATCAGTCAGAGTATGTTTTTGAGATGAAATACCTAGATGATGATCATTCTAGAAAGCTTTTCTTTAACAGACTATTTTGCTCTGAAAGAGATTGTCCTGAACAGTTCAAAGATGTTCTAAATGAAATTGTTGAAACATGTGATGGTTTGCCGTTAGCCACAGTTAGCATAGCAAGTGTTTTAGCAAGCCAGCCTGTCATGTCAATTGATCTTTTGACATACATCCATCGGTCGTTAAGCTCTTGCTTCTCGGCATTAGAAAGAACTAGACAAGCACTGAATCTGAGCTTCAACAGTCTTCCTCAATATTTGAAGACATGTTTGCTTTATCTTAGTATGTATCCAGAGGGCTACACAATCTTGAAGGATGATTTGGTGAAGCAATGGGTGGCTGAAGGTTTGATCTATACAACAGAAGGGCAAGACATCGGGAAAGTTGCAGAAAGCTATCTCGATCAACTTCTTGGTAGAAGATTCATCCAACCGATATGTGTCAACTACAACAATGAGGTGTTATCCTGTGCAGTGCATGGCATGGTACATGATCTTATTGCACACAAATCTGCAGAAGAGAATTTCATTGTGGCAATAGACTACAGCCAAAAGAATGTGCCACTCTCTCAAAAGGTCCGTCGACTATCTCTCCTCTTTGGTAATGCAAAATATGCCAAGACACCAGCAAACATCACAAAGGCACAAGTTCGGTCACTTGGATTTTTTGGATTACTCGAGTCTATGCCTTGTATTACAGAGTTCAAGCTTCTTCGTGTCCTGAACCTTCAACTGTTCGGTCATGCTGGCGATGACGACGGCCCTGTAGACCTCACTGGAATTTCAGAAATGTTTCAACTGAGATATATGAAGATTGCAGGTAATGTCTGCATAAAACTGCCAAACCATGTGCTACGATGTTTGGAAATACTGGATATTGCGTATGCAAGAGTTGCTTGTGTTCCACGAGATATCCATTTACCAAACTTGTTACACCTTGGTCTTCCTCTTGATAAAAATCTGCTGGATTGGATTAACAGCAGGATGTCTCTCAGTGTGGAGAGAGTACGCAAGCTGCAGGATCTTCACCTGACCAGATCTTCTGCACTTTCTTCTGACCATCTGAATAGAAGCATGAGTTCTATTTTATCTTTACTTGGAGGACATGGCAACCTGAAAACTTTAGTAGTGGCTCATGGCTCATCGGCTAAAAATTCTCTTGGCGTTTCAGACGTCACCCTGTCATGTGATCTGCTGGCACCCCCACTTCTCCAGAGATTTGAATTCTCGCCACATAGCCGTATCTTGTTCTCAAGAATTCCTCTGTGGATTGAGAAACATGGCAACCTAAGAATTTTGAAGATTGCAGTGAGGGAACTGCAGATGAGTTGTGTTGATATCCTCAGAGGATCGCCTGCCCTCACTGCTCTCTCTCTGTATGTGGAGAAGGCGCCCTACGAAAAGATCATCTTTGACAAGGCTGGGTTCTCGATTCTCAAGTACTTCAAGTTGAGGTTCACGAGTGACATAGCTTGGATAAAATTTGAGAAAGGTGCAATGCCTAATCTCTGGAAGCTCAAGCTAGTTTTCAATGCCATCCCCTCTTTTGAAAAAGATGGTACTGCACTCATCAGCATCGAGCATATGCCAGGCCTTAAAGAGATCTCCACAAAATTTGGGGGTGAAGCTCCTGATCTAGAGTATGCCTTGAGGACCTTGGTTAGTAATCATCCGACCAATCCTATAATTAACATGCCATCAAATAAGACTCTGGGGGGAGAACAACGACATAGGAATCTGGAGCAAGAATCAGATGAGATTCTGAAGGAAGATCCATATGGGAATCTGGAGCAAGAATCGGATGAAATTCTGGAGGAACAAGAGCCAGATGAATACGATGAGAGATTAGAGAGGCGACAGGCTGATAAAAGGTACTACAAATGTTCCTTGTAAGCACAACGAAATATGCCCTCCTTTACTTCAACTTCTATGAGGCTGGGTGCACCCACTTGGTGCAGACGCCTCAATCGATAAAATCTTTCTTTTTAAGAAAAACATCAATGTCGATTCTTCAGTTAACCTGATATAATTCTTATATGTTCTAACGAAGCTAATGGTTATTGTAATCAATCAGGATTTCAAGGTCATCAGATCCATCTTCGCGTCTACATGTTCTAGGTACATTTTCTGTCAACTGGTGGTAATATAAATGTTTCGCCATCAAGTTAATAAAGTCACTTCAAGAGAAAACTAAGCAGCTTGTTCTATGTGATAAAAATTTTATCCCGGACTACCAATTCGGAAACGATTAATTTCTCCAACCGCTGACTTGTTAGAGATAGAGGCTTGAGCGGAAACCGGTGACCATAGCCAACCCATCTAGTTTAGTTGCGTCCGTCATTCCCTGACATCGGCCTATAGTTACAAATGAGACTTTGATCCTGTGCCAGCCGAATCAGAAAAGAATCCCTGATTGCACGTAGCCTGGATTTCAACCTCCTATTTTGTCTTGCACTTTCTTGTTTCATTGCTTGCTCAAGCGAGATGCATCTTCCCCTATTTTCATGGCCCCAACCAATCACATTCACGGCTTGGACTGCAGCATGCACACCATGAAAACATGCCTAATTTCAGGTCCTATCTCTCTTCACTTATGCACCTTAGTTATGTGCTAAAATAGCATGCTTTATCAGATTAAAAAATAGCATGCTTTATTGTTATACAAACTAATTCCTCTTTTTCTTCGTAATTGAGTTGCATATCTCTTCACACAACATCAGTAACAATAGCAGGGGTATGCATAAGCGAAGCCACCATATCACTTTCCTGACAAAAAGACCTTGGGACATCTGGGGTGGTTCTTTGCTACTCCCTCCGTCCGGAAATACTTGTCATCAAAATGAATAAAAGAGGATGTACCTAGATGTATTTTAGTCTAGATACATTCCTTTTTGTCCATTTTGATGACAAGTATTTTCGGACGGAGGGAGTACTTCTTTACCGAAAAAGGGTTGCCCCCCGCTTTATATTATAAAGCAACGGTCACACGATACAAATGCTGGGGCCTCAGCACAAGCAAGCCCAAAAGAAACAAAGAAAGGAACTAAAGAGAAAATAATGCCAACAACGGCGGATCAACGAAAACGATGAGGACCCGCAACCGCCGCGCCCACCGGATAATACCACCACGCTCCTAGCACTCCGGACCGCCGCATACCAAACAACACCCTCAAGAAGGATCGCGACGATGACGACGCTGTTGCCCGGACATGTCCTAGGGTTTCCCCCGATATGCGAGGGGTGAGGTGGAAGGGGTATGCCCGACGCCCTTCAGGAAGGCACGGCGGACCCCACGAGCGTCACCGCGTCGGTGCCGGCCCTGCCGACAAGGATTTCTCCCGACCACCAACCAACCACGACCCCAGACGATTCATCCCGCGCCACCAAACACACCGCCCACCAACTTGCGCCACCACGATCGAGCAGTCTCCATCACCGTCTCACCATGGCAAACGAAACGGGACCGACGGAAACAAGACGACGCAACCGGGGACCAGGAGCGGCAACATCAGCAGCCTCGCGGGAGGGGACATCCTCCATCGCCCTCGGCGGGATCCGGCCGGACGCAGCACAGGGGCTCGCGAAGCCCCCGTCGCCGCGCTGCAGAACGCGAGCCACCGTCGCCACCACCCCCCGCACGAGTCACGCCCCCGACCCGCCGGAGACGCCGCAAGCAGACCAGGCCAGGCCCGCTCAGACCCAGATCGAGCCGAAAAGGGCCCAGACCAGGCCACCGCGTCGCCCCGCCGCCAAGCGGCCGCGCCACCGCCGGATCCATAGTCGCCGAGGAGCACCCCCGTCGGTCGCCGTCCGCCCGAGCCGAGGTGCCGTGCGGGGGGGAAAGGCCAGGGCTGCCGCCGCCGGCACCACGCGGGCAAGGCCCGGTGGCCCAGGCCGACGGCGGCAGAAGGGGAGGAGGGGGAGGGGAGGGCTGGGAGGGGTGACGAGAGCCCCCGGTCGCCCCGCTCGGTGAGGCGACGCGGGAGGTGGAGAGGGGAGATGGAAAGATCGTCTTGCTACTTCTTTTCAATCGGGTCGTGTTTCATCTCCCAGTCGACCATGGAGAGCAGTCTCCTTTCTTAGTTGCTATTTTGGTTAATTCTTGGGGGCGTGTTGGGTTATATATATACTCTCTCTTCATGCAGGCACATGACATTTTTTATTATTTTTATTAAGCAGTACCAGTTGGTGCTTCTGAGATGGGAAGTGAGCCTGATGTGGAAATCCCTGTGGCACCAACTACTAATGATAACATGATGTTGTCGGTCAATCTCGAAGCATTTGCTAGGGAAAATTATCCGAGCACTAACTTGGAAAGTTCTGTAAAGGAGATGGAAAGAGTGGCAGGTTTAGAGGATCATCAGATGGAAGATAGCACACAGGTAATTTACACATTCCAACTGTTTTGGATTTTTCTGATCCTTCTTAGGGACATAGCTACTAGGATTGGGGTGAAGTTAGGAAGTAATATTCTTGAGGTAAATAAATATATTTAAGTGACTAGTATGGAAGCTGGTAGATCCGCCTTTGAGCCTTGGGTTCTACAGGGTGTGTGCCTAGATTGTTTCTTCTAAATTAAAATTCTACAAGGGTAGTAATTTTATAGCTCACAAGAGAAGTCTAGCAATATGCCTTGAGTGGGTTGGGTTGCCCGGTGGTGCAGCTTCCCATCACTTATCTGGGCATCCCGTTGTCGACGCGACGGCCTTCCGCCGCCCAGTTGCAGCCCCTCGTTGATACGGTGGCTGCCCGGCTTCCTACCTGGAAGGCGTGGCTCATGAACAAAGCCGGGCGTCTTGCCCTTGTCAAATCGGTCCTCAACGCAATACCAGTGCACCAGCTGCTCGCGTTCGCTCCCCCGAAGAAGACGCTCAAACAATTGGCGAAGATCCAGCGAGGCTTCTTGTGGGCTGGGCGGGCCGTGGCCAACGGTGGCCATTGCCATGTCAACTGGAGCCGTGTGTGCCGTCCTATCGCGTATGGTGGGCTAGGAGTCCGAGACCTGGAGCGCGCTGGCCTCGCGCTACGCTTGCGATGGCTCTGGTTCGCCCGCGTCGATCCAGACCGTGCTTGGCAAGGTCTCGATCTGCAGTTCTCACACGAGGAGCGCGCGCTCTTCTTTGCCTCCACTACCATGATCATTGGAAATGGCTCGATGGCGCTTTTTTGGGAAGATCGCTGGATTGGCGGGCAGTCTGTCGGTGAGATAGCTCCCCTACTCTACCAATGCATTTCCAAACATCGACGCAAGGCCAGGACGGTGGCTGAAGGGCTGGCGGGTAACTCTTGGGCACATGATATTCAAGGGGTCCTGGGTCTGCACGAGATCGGACAATACTTACTGCTATGGCAGGCTGTGTGCCACACCATCCTGACGATTTCGAGCCGGATCACCTGCTCTGGAGGTGGACCACCAATGGCACCTACTCGGCGCGCTCATGTTATGCGGCCAGTTTCCAGGGATCCACGCGGTGCCATTCTTGGAAGCTGGTATGGAAGAGTTGGGCGCCTCCACGGGTAAAAATTTTCCATTGGCTCGCCGACCAGGATCGCTGCTGGACTGCTGAAAGGCTCGCGCGACGTGGCTTGCAGCATCACCCTCGATGCCTCCTTTGCGACCAGGCCGTGGAAACTATCCAGCACCTGCTGCTGACCTGCCCCTTTGCACGTCAGACCTGGCACATTGTCCTTGATTGGTTGCATATTCCGGTCCAAATCCCCGATCAGGAGCACACGGTCACGGAGTGGTGGCTGAGCGCGAAAGAGCTCGCGCCGCCGGCACATCGGAAGGCCCTCAAATCCATCGCGCTTCTTGTGCCCTGGATGCTATGGAAGCACAGGAACGCCTGTGTCTTCGACAACGCCACGCCATCCATCGAATCACTAGTGGTTAGGATCAAGGACGAGGCCCGGTGTTGGGCTAAAGCAGGAGCCCAGGGACTTCGGGTTGTTCTGCCCACAACCTGGGATGTCCACTGATTTTGTGCTTTTCTTTGTACTGCTCACCTCCTAGGAGGATTGTTCTACCTTTTCCATGAAATGAAATGCAAAGGTCCTTTGCGTTTTCTCGAAAAAAAAAATATGCCTTGAGTGGGGAACCAAAACAATTTTTTATTTTAACTCTAAGGCTATCCAGGATTTACTCGCAGATGAGTATGGGGTTGATTTAGAAAATGTTAGATAGCTGTGTTAGAAGTTTAGCTTCTTCAAGTAGACCTAAATGGTAGGACGTGGAGTATCTACTCCCGAGCTCAAATGATCCCTGATGAACAGTAAATTCGAAAAAAAATAGTAAACAAATTCTGAATATTTTTTCTGGTAAACTTAGAAAAATATTTTGTGTGCTTGCAAATTTATAATAACAGGACATTCATGGAAGTCGTGGCAAAAAAACAAAATCGATGCTCCTGAAATGCTATTTTTGAAAGCATTTTGGAGTATTGTTTATTTTATTTTATTTTTGCCATGACTTCCACGAATGTTATTTCGTGATGAAAATTTTCAAGCATACCAAACATTTGTCAAAGTTTGTCACATTTTTTTTATTTTACAGTTCATCCCGAGCTCAATGAGCTCGGGAGCAGAAGAGGACTTCTGTAAATGGTAAAGGTGCTTTTGTTGGCGGTAGGAGAGGTACAGAAGTGATAATTCAAAATGGCTCCCAAGAGCACATGCTTCTGGCTGCAAAAACTAAATTTTCGGGTGTCCAAAAAATGAAAAAAAAATGGATGTCTACTTTTTTGTGTCCTTTGTGTACATGTAAATTTTCATGAGAAAAAAAAACTTTTGTGCCCCGTGTATGGAATTTGTTTTTTGATGCTTCAAGAAATGCTTCTTAGAGCACTCTTGCTTCAAGAAATGCTTGTGGGAATAGTATTTTAGGTAAGTACTCCCTCCGTTCCTAAATATAAGTCTTTGTAGATATTGCACTACAAACTACATACGGATGTATATAGACATATTTGAGAGTGTAGATTCACTCATTTTGCTCCGTATGTAGTCCATAGTGGAATCTCTAAAAAGACTTACATTTAGGAACGGAGGAAGTACAATATTATCAAAAGGGGAAGGAAAGGTAATACTGAATGTAGCTATACCCATATTAAAAGCACATGTTATGTTTCGATCATTTTTATCTCAGCCATCAACGGCATTCTCCAGGAGTATCTCAGCCACAACTGGCTTTTCCTTGTATTACCGAGAATTAAATTTGGATGGAAAAAGAGGGAGACAAGTCCCACACTCTCGATACGGCGATACCGCTATGAGTTTGTGGAAATTACCCACAACCTGGGCTTTGGTTAGCGGGCGGTAAATTCGGTTGCCG